CGTAAACTGGCAAATGCGAAACGAGCCACCTGTATCCGTGCTGAGATTTCGTCAGAGATGAACCCGCTGGCACTGGCTGATGTTACTTCCCCAATAAGTGAAGCGGCCAATGTGCTCTACCACTTCACTCCCTATTTATGAACTAGGGGTCAGTGCAGTCCAGTCCTGTAACATCATCTTGCATTTGGCGCGGACGAATCGCATGCCAAACATTCGTAGATCGCAGCTCAAGGTGTTTAGAAGACTCTGTTGTATTTTGTCAGCGTCCTCGCCTAGAAGGACTTTATCGTTCTTCTCCACCGAACTTAAATACCTCTGGAGTATAGCCACTGTACCTTTAGTGTATCTGAAGTTATATCCAGTGTCTTCTGGGAACCGAGTATAATTAGCAGGAGTATGCACTATGTGGCTAAGAAGCTTAGAGAAGAGTACCAGATTTAGTCGCAGTCGTCTTAAACATAATGTTTCTAGTCCTAGGATTTCACATCTGGTAGAGAAGTTTGTGACGTTATCGGTTCCGAGTACTTTTAGCGTGAAGTACCTCTGTACTCCTTCTACTTTCAGTTTGTCTTCTATGCGTGTACTGCTAAATATAAATGAGCAGTAATCTAGAAGTGGGCGCACACAAACCTTGTGCAGTAGTATTCTGGATTCACTTCTGTAGAAGTTCCTGAGTAGGAACTCCTGCTACACTCATGAATTAAGCGATATGGTAGATAAAATACATCTTGAACTAAGTAGCCTTGCAACGTGGTGTGCTGAATCCTGCCTAAATTTTAACATTGACAAATGCGCCTGGATTTGTATCGGCAACAGTAAGCTTGATCTAAACCTTGAAATAAATGGGCGAAAACTAGCTAAGCTCAATTCAGTCGTAGATCTCGGTATTAGATACTCTAGTAACCTAACGTTCGCTGAACAGACTGATTATGCCAGACGTAAAACGCGTAGGCTGATAGGATGCATAACACGCAATTTCTTTTGTTGTGAAACTAGGGTTTTATTATACAAAGTATGTGTCCGACCTATCTTAGAATACTGCCCGTTTATTCTTAGCGGACTAAGACAAAATGACAAGCTTAAATTAGAGGGAGTGCAACGGCAGTTTACCTCAAGAACTCTTGGTTTAGAAAGTAGTCTGGAATACCATGAGAGATGCGAAAGACTAAGATTAGAACCCCTCTGGAAAAGACGCCTTAAGCTAAACCTAATCTTTTACTATAAGCTAACTAATCTTCTCTTGCATTCCTCCGAGCCATTAACTAAACCTACCGCTGTCGTCAGTTACAATCTTAGAAATCATCACAACCTAGCTGCTATAGAGCACTGTCAGACTTACGTGCGGTACAACTTCTTCTTAAATAAGTTTTCAGTCATTTGGAATAGACTACCAGCTAATGTGCGCGATGCAAACACACTTCCAGTGTTCATCTCCTCAGTCACCAGACTGCTCAAAGATGACAATGCACTTATACGTCTAACTCTTACACCCTCTTTTTCACCCTACATAGATATTTTAAGTTGTTTAAACGTGTAGTTACAGCAAACTACAATTATAAATTTTAATATTATTGGAACTAGATGATTAACATTTCTACACAGGACAGTAATATTAGTTCACACATAATATAAAAGTTAGCATAACGGGACTAGTTAGTTTGTGTACCAAAATAACCACAGTTACTAAACAGAATATATATGTGTATATTTATTAATCACTCCTTAAGGACTCCCGTTGCTTTCTTTTGCGTTGCTGTTGTTTGTCTTCTTTTTTCTCTCACCATTTCAGCTTCCATTTGACTTTTTGAATGAGAATGAATAATGTGGATATTTGACCATTTACAATGACAAATGATCTGCAAACATTATTGGTCCCGTATCTTTCAGTTGCCTGGTTAATAACGAATTAACTTTCTCCACGACGCAACCTGGATTACATTTGTGGAATATACTCTTATACCAATGGAAAAGTATCAATTTGTAATACAACTTCACGATTGTAGCTGATAACATAACTGATCGTATCTGTAAAAATAGCTTCCTTATTACCCAATTTGGATATAAATCAAATCAAAAATGAGATTCGGATTTGTACACACCCAGGTTATATTGAGGAATTACTTCAAGCTTTATTTTTTCCCAAGTATTTTTAATCCATCCAAAAGTTACTTGGGTTTTTTTGTCAATGCGAAGACAATATTTCTATATTTCATGATGTGCTCCATTGAATGACTTGTTATATTGTGGAATAACTTCAAGCTTTATTTTTTCCCAAGTATTTTTAATCCATCCGAAACTTACTTGGGTTTTTTTTGTTAATGCGAAGTCAATATTCCTATATTTCATGATGTGCTCCATTGAATGACTGGTTATCATATTGTTCCCACAGACCTAAAACAATGGCATGCATTTTCATGTAAATTTATATGTTTATATGAGAATATACATTATTATAATTATTATTGAAACAAAAACGCCAGCAACCATGTAACTTAACCATAAACCGAATTTATGAAATTTAATTTATGCTTATCCATGCCTGTATATTTGGTGTGTCCTACACAAGTAGGAAAAAATGTGTACTTTATTAAAACATTATTATTAATTATGATTGCTAATCGTATATGTAATTTATCATATTGATGATGCCTGTAAACTGGCGTCTCTCATGTACAAAATGAGAATATACTATTATTATTATTATTATTATTAATAAGCCTGCGTGATTTCGTTACTTGTTTCGAGATAGGCTGAGAAAATGATAGATTGTGTGAATATTTCAGTCCTAGGTCTAGTACAGATTTGAGTCTGGGAATTTTGTGGCCCTGAATTGCTAGGTCGAGTTCAAGGTTGGAACAGCCTATGCAGTGCCATCCACACTTTTCAACACTAAACTCGAGTCTCCAGGTGTCACACCATCTATCCATTTCTATCAATTCTTCATGTATAGAGTTCATAGTTGTGCCGATATCTGTATTTGTGCAGGTTTATGTCACCTTTAAGTCATATGCATACAGTATTGGCTTGCCTATACTAAAGCATTCACATATACTGCTTATGTATATAATGAAAAGAAGGGGCCCCAATAGACTCCCCTGGATGATACCACTGCTGATTGGTCTAGGTTTGGAGGTCATCGAGCCAATATTTGTTGTCTGGTTTCTGTCACAGAGAAATGATTTTATCCAGTTTTGGAGGGAGTTGCATATCCCTAGTGAGCATAGCCTGCTGACTAGTAGAGTATGTGGGACTCTGTCGAAGGCTTTCTCCATATTGAAATAGAGGATAATTACTAGTTCTCTCCTATCTCTTCTATAGATGACTTCGTTGGAAAAGTCTATATGGCAAGTGACGCAAGATCTTTTCCTGAGGAATCCGTGTTGTGACTGGTTGATGAGTTTATGTTTTAGAAAGTAGTTTGACATTTGGCCTTTGATTACTTTCTCCATGATCCTTGATCTGACAGGTGTTATATTGATAGGCCTTTAATTACATGCACTAGTTTTGGCCCCTCCTTTGTTCTTAGGTAATATACATGTGCTTTTCCAAGTTTCAGGGTAGGTCCCAGTCACTGGTGAGAGGGTAAATATTCGAAGTAATAATGCTATCATATCCGTTCGGCCGTTTTTGTATATGCCAGATGGTATATCATCTATCCCACAACTACCGTTAGCTTTTAATGTTTTTACCGCTGATGGTATATTTTGTATATTAAAGTTGATTTCACCTAACTTGTAGTTGTTTCTGCAGGTTATGTCGAGAATTGGGGACGGATGCACTTTGGTATCATTGGATAACCACTCTCTAAGGAGTTCACTAATAATCTGGGAATCATCATAAATTATACCTTCATGTTCCAAGTGGCTAACATTATTGTCTTCACCCCTCTTCAGTCGTTTTTGCAAGATCTCGCAGAGTTCCTGAGTTTTAGAGGTGCCCCGTATAGCTTTATTTTCCTCAGGTTGTGCCTTCATTTTGTGTCTCCCATCAAGATTTTTAAATGTTTCATGTATCTGGTGTAATGCACTAAACTTTTTATATAAATAAAATGTTCTTTTCATTTTCCTTAGTTTTAATTGCGTTTTGCGGTCTACGAATATAGTTGGTGTCTTTAAGGCAGATTTCAGAGGTGCGATTGTGTCTCTTACTGAACTAATTGTCCTGTGGAAGGTATTAAGTGTCACTTCTAAGTTATTATTGGTTGAGTATTCACCCCAGTCAGAGCTTCTCAAGAGCGTTGGTAGGAATTCCCAGTCGGCATTTCTATAGTCCTTATATTGATAGTAAACCGGGGAAATTTTGGATGTGTGTCTAGTTGTTAGTTGAAGAGGTAGAGTGCAGTACAGTATGTTGTGATCACTGTTGTTGAGCTTATCCCCCACCTCTATCGAGATCGGCTCTATTTTGTGGCAGAGGACTAGTTCGACAATATTGTTGTGTCGTGTTGGGAGGCGTAGGCACTGCTCCATCCTCCCACATCTATGGCTTCTAGGATCACCTCGTAGGTTCTCTGTCCAGTGGTGGTATCACAGTTCACTCCGGGGAGGTTGAGATCGCCGCAAACTAGTTTGTAGTCGAATTCTAGTGTAGCGGTAAATAATTCCCTAAAATTATTGACCACAGCAACCACTCATTGGATGCTGACCACCACTGTTTAAGTCGACTTGTTTAGCTGAAGGCTTCCGGTCAAGCATCCCCGCCATTTGGTACCTCGTCGTGTCACGTGCACGATCACTAGCTAGCTAAGCGTTCGTCTAACGGCTGGTTTTGGTTCGTAAATACATCTATTGGTTTGGACGATCAATTGTTGGCTTTTGCTTTGTCTTTGGTACGCGAGAATAAATTAATTAGAAGTTGTTGAACGAGATATCACGTCAAACCTTTAATATCCGTCAACCCTAAACTGGTGAGCCCACCGCGAACTTCACCCACGATAAATCCGCCACCTTTAAACTGGTGAGCCCAACCGCGAACTTTATCCACGAAAATTCCGCAGATAACCCCGGTGAGTTCGTTCCATTTTGTATTTGTTCTTGTACCATATATTATTCGTCATAATTTTCGTCATGAGTGATCTTAGTCCCAAGGTCATCCGTATCCGCTCAACTCCTAAAACCATTCAGCTCGTACCATACTGGCCAGATAATGCTGAAACGTGGTTTCTGCTAGCTGAAGCAGATTTTTGTGAGCATGGGATAACTGATCAACGTTCACAGTTACTTGCAGTTATTCACGCCCTACCGCGGGAATTCAGCAAGTACGTAACATCACAGATGTTGAGTCCCGAGGTAAGTAACTCGTACGAGTTGCTGAAAGCATCCCTCCTCAGGAGAAACGCTCTCACGGACAGACAACGTCTAGATGAATTATTTCGCAACATCGAGTTAGGAGATCAGTCAGCCGTGAGCATGCTGACAAGAATGAAACAAGTCGTCGGCCAATGTCAGTTCGACGAAGGACTGTTTAGAGAACTCTTCTTAACCAAGTTGCCACAATCTGTACAGACCGTACTTGTGACACTTGAGGGTACTGTAATAGAGAACTTAGCTATTACTGCAGATAAGATCTTAGAAATAACTAAACGGTCTGTCCCCGAAATATGCTCAATGACTAAGCAGACTTCGAGTAAGGATCCTGCAATGACAGAGTTATGCAACTCCCTTCAGCAGATGTTTAGGTCAAACATGCATTCTAAATCCTCCAACCGTCGTCCTAAATCTCCTCAACGCAGGAACTCGCGTGGTCGATCTAAGTCCAAACCACGTTCACTGAAAAACCCTGACTGGTGCTGGTACCACAACACCTATGGCCAAGAAGCGAAGTGTTGCCGTAAGCCTTGTAACTTCGGAAATGTCTCAAAGTCTGCGGGAAACTATCCCGCCGGCACGCGTTAGCGGCAACCGTCGCCGGTGGCACTAGCCGCCTTCTTTACATCCATGATGTGATAAGCCAGACTCGATACTTAGTCGACACAGGAGCCGAAGTCAGCGTCCTTCCTGCTACAGCAGCAGATCGACAGAAGGAACCTACCTTCAACTTACAGGCTGCAAATGGAAAACCAATCGCAACCTTTGGTAGGAAATACGTCTGTCTGAACGTAGGTTTACGCAAACCTATTCGATGGATTTTCCTTCTCGCTGACGTTACAATGCCCATCATTGGCACGGACCTACTTAATCATCATGATTTACTCGTAGACGTCCGCCGAAAACGACTGATTGACAATACTACTAGTCTGTCTATCAAAGGCATCACCTACATAGGCCCTAGCTTGTCACCCGTTAAGATAAAGGCAATTCTTGATCCAACTTTTCAACCTATCGTTGACAAGTATCCGGAACTTAACTGCCCGTCGAACGACCTACCGTGCATAACCAGCAATGTTATGCACCACATCATTACCACAGGACAACCTGTGACATCTAAAGCACGACGATTAGCTCCTGACAAACTGAGAATCGCCAGGAATGAATTTGACCATATGCTTAGCCTTGGCATCATTCGACCTTCGAATAGCCCATGGGCATCCCCACTTCATATGGTTCCGAAAAAGGATAGCAACGATTGGCGACCCACCGGTGATTACCGGCGAGTGAATGCCAAAACAACCCTTGATTGCTACCCGTTGCCTCATATACACGACTTGACGGCAACCTTATCCGGCGCGACTATATTCTCCAAAATCGACTTGGTTAAAGCGTATAACCAAATCCCGATGGCAACAGAAGACATCCCGAAAACGGCTATCATTACGCCTTTCGGACTTTTTGAATTTCTACGTATGCCATTCGGTCTTCGGAATGCAGCCCAAACATTCCAACGCTTCATTGACGAAGTATTTCGCGGTCTCGACTTTGTATACGCATACTTAGACGACTGCCTCATTGCCAGTCCAGACAAGGAAACTCACCTTAGGCACTTGGACTTGGCATTTGACAGGTTACGCCAACATGGTGTTACCATCAACATTCAAAAGTGTCAAATCGGTGTTGACTCACTCGACTTCCTGGGTCACACTATTGACTGCAAGGGCATTCGCCCACTGGCTACTAAGGTTGAGCCTCCTAAGAAAAACCGTTCTGGACGCACCGTAAGGTTCCCAGAACATTTGCACACTTTTTTGACTTAACGAAGTCGTGTGATTCACGCAACTCACTCGTTTGTGGTACTAACTATTTTTTTTGACGTAAAATTTTTTTTTATATACAGTACCACCGAACACAAAAAAATTTTTTTCCACAGTTCATGTAACATACACAAAAAAATTAATTATATGTATTTTTTTTCGATGTTCTGAACTTAGCATTATTTTACTGTATAGTAAATGCACATAATTTTTTTTAACCAAAAAGGTCATTTCGTACATTTTCCTCGACATGGTTCTTAGCGTTCTTGTTTTCTTTTCCAGGTGCGACGGGCACTGGACGGGAAACAAACGAAGCACGGAATCCAACGAACAACACCAGGAAGCTATGTACAAACACCCTATTAGCATAGGCAGACAAACCAGTAGGCATACGACCAAGCCGCTCGGAAGATTTTTTTCACCCGAAAGGGAACCATCGAGTTTTTTTTACTTCCGGCTGGTTCTGTCTTAGGGTCCTCACGACCCCACTAGGGGGGAGTGAGCTGTAGCGGTAAATAATTCCCCAAAATTATTGACCACAGCAATCACTCATTGGATGCTGACCACCACTGTTTAAGTCGACTTGTTTAGCTGAAGGCTTCCGGTCAAGCATCCCCGCCATTTGGTACCTCGTCGTGTCACGTGCACGATCACTAGCTAGCTAAGCGTTCGTCTAACGGCTGGTTTTGGTTCGTAAATACATCTATTGGTTTGGACGATCAATTGTTGGCTTTTGCTTTGTCTTTGGTACGCGAGAATAAATTAATTAGAAGTTGTTGAACGAGATATCACGTCAAACCTTTAATATCCGTCAACCACTAAACTAGCTTAGGTACAATCTCTAGTATTTCTCCGATAACGGTATCAGTCGTTTTAGGACTGTTAGGGGCTCTGTATATGCATCCCATTAGAATTTTATTTACATTTGGTGTAAGTCGGTGGATTTAGAAGCACATATTAGACACCCGCCTCCCCTTTTGCCCACTCCATCATTCCTGTGGATGTCATAGTTATCAATTATCAGCTTTGTATCAGGTATATTATTAGTTAGCCAAGTTTCAGTTACCAGGATCAGAGTTGGCCGTTCCATGTATACTAAGCCGCGAAGGGAAGTTATTTTGTTAAGGAGAGATCGAGTATTTATAATAATAATTTATTTCTAAAACAGAAACCAGCCATTTTTACAGGCATGAACATACGTACACTTATCAAAACTGATAAAATATATAATATGATTTGTTAATCTATAAATAAGTTGAATATTGGTAAATGTGAGAGAAAAATTTAAAATGAAGTGTACAAATAAGGAAATAGATATAGCGTCAAATCTAAACTGTGATTGAAAAAAAATACATGTCAATTTCACGCGGGAATCATAAATGATTGCGTA